TGTGACAGGTGCTTCTCACGCTCAGACCACCTGGCGCTCCACATGAAACGACACCTGTGATCCCAGCTGCCACAGCACCTGTAACGTTCCAGCTAAGACTGGTAGATTTCTTAGCTGCATTTGTACACCTTGCATGATGCTGACATCCTAGGAATGTATTTATATTATAGGAAGGAGTACTGTGTACACAAGAAAGATGAGAGCATTGTAAATGAAAAGAAGAAAATTGCAGTGTGTTTTATTTAAAGAACCCTTGACACCTAATTATGTTTTGAAGAAAAGCATGATGAGTCCCCCAATCCCATGCTCATGGGAGAACCTGTAGCACATGTTAGTGAAGTTAGTCGGACTGAGCCTTGGTAAGGACGCTGGAGTTAGATACAGACAACTGAAATAACAATCATGTCATCTATTGATGAAACATACTGTATTATCCATGTAACCTATACTGCTATAGGTAGACTAAATTTATGAAATATTTTCTTGGAACCTGTCAGTAATTTTTATCCGATTAAATAACAACTGTGCATATCAAGTCAGTTGAAGTGTACCAAACAGATGTCATATTGACAATGGTGCTGTACCATTGCCTAAAGCCTGGCCAATGGAATTTCCAAGCTAAGTACTAGTAGTAGTGTGTGAGCTGCAAGTGTCTCCATCTAAGATTGGTGCCAAGATATGTACACAAGCGATAGATGTTGGCTTCAATTCTGCAAAGCAAGTTGGATTGGTATTGAAGGGTGTTGTTAGCTCTAAGGACCAAAGGCCCATCTGAGGTGACATTTGCAGTACCTCAAAATTTTTGAATAGAATAAAATTTTGACAAAAATGTAGCACTAGCAGCTATGAAGCACTAAAATTAAAAAAGTAACTGAAAGTGGCAGCTTTGATTTTAACACTTAAAAAAAACATGTACGTATTTATATTATATTACTTATCTAAAATTTGAAGTACAAAATCTTCACTATTGCGTATGTATGTAAGTCTTGAATTTATATTTTTGTATTGTTTTCTATGTTATGTGTACTACACGTTTTTACTGTAGCTGTTTGCAGCTAACATTTTTGAATGTCACTACATGAATGTATAGAAATTTTAACAGTGAAGCAGCATTGAGCCATGAAGTATAAACCTCAAAAACAACAGTAGCAGTATGTTATGTACCTATTTGTCAAGAGTGGCGAAATTCTACATGTTCAAACTTGTACACCACTGGGACATACACATGACTTTAACATTGTCTAACTATGATATGAAGTTTTTGCACCTTTTGTCAAATTGGGGGTTTGCCCAAGTCTCACTGCCATCATGTTTCAACCATTGGATTTGGTTTTGATACTTTTCTGAACCAAGGTAACAGATTTTAAGATGTTGTGTTGTATCCTCCCTGAACCTGCTTTGTTAGCATTTGAGTGAACACAAGAGACTTAAATTTGTTAGTACTATTTGACTCTGGAGATGATTACTGTTTATGTAGTACCACATCATAAGTATTGAACTAATGATAATTGGATATGGCCACGTTATGTAAATGTTCCACCTTTTGTTTCATGGATTGTGAATATATTATGAACTGCTGAGAAATGGAGAGAAAAACCTTCAGTTCTGCTTTTTACTGTTTATTTTTTCATGTTGAGCATTGATGCCAAATGTTCCCATTGGCAGCTACTGTGTGTTCAGTTATTGTCATACATTGTACAATGTGCACTAAAAGATAAAATTAATATTAATTGTACTCTACTGTTTATGGAGAAGCCTAAATGTTGTAGTAAGAAATTCAAGTATGTACAGCATTAAGAGAGGTTCTATGTACAATAGTTATTGTGAAATAATGAGGAAATATGTAAATTATGATGGCCTTAATCTGTCCTGCATTAGCTGAGCCCCCACACCAATGTGATGCTGTGGAAGCATGTTATACTACTTGTACATGTAGCATGGTTATTAGGTATACCGGACTGCAAACAGATCTCCAATGTTGGTTCCAGCTGCAGTACGCATACTTTTGTCTTTTGAATACAACAATAAACATGCAACACATGGCACAGACTTTGTCAGGAGGTGTTCTTTGTAAAGGCAGTCTGCCTATACATGTACCACCAGTAGTTAGATTTACCAATACCAGATAAGCTCAATATGCCCTTGGAAGATAACCAGCTTGCAAATCCTACGGTAGTATTCTTCCTTAGGCCACACCAATTCAATTTGTTGGTTCTCGGATTTTTTCAAGAAAAATATGAAGCGACGGCGAAAAAATAAAAACAGGTCTAGGTAAACTATTATAGCCCCAAATGCAATGATAGGAGCCATGAAGTCAACACAAAAGGCTGGGTTAATATTTAAACAATGAATTTTGAACTTTTAATCAAACCAATACATTGATAGATGGAAAAACTAACAACTAGGAAGGAAAGGACTTTCCCTAACAGTTGGGGGCAAAATATAAGCATTTTTGAGCTGATTCAGAACCACAATCTTTCTTTTTTTGGAAAATCAGAAAAAAATGAAGAGGTGAATCCGAGAACCAACAAATTAAATTGGTGTGGCCTTATCTAATTACTTAACATCAGATCGTGATACGAAATGGCCAAATCAGATCAGTGGTAGTTGATCGGAAACCAACAAATGTGCTTATGAACATATTTCTCTGTCTGCAATGACCAGTACTACAGGCACAAAAGACCTCAAGCCAACATTAATAGATTTTTTCCTGATATTTTGTTCTTCCTCTTGCTCCAAACTTTCTGAGCAGAAATTTAATTCAAGTGGCCTGACCCCATGGACGAACAAGAACCTTTAGAGTAGATTTCTGCCTCAGGTGTATTGAAGGTTCACTTTCTACTAGTACAATGTAGTACGAAATCGGTTAATGACTGCATCAGTGTCAATTAGCAAAAAAAAGTTGACAAAACTGGAGATTTCTCTGCTGTTAGATGAATTTCAATGTAGGACATTATATTGATTTGACACAAATGAAAACCACTGACCTACATGCATCTATCCAGCAAGTAGAGAACAATGTACAGCTTCTGCTCAGTTAAGTAATGAAATGGTCATGCAGTTTTCTGGACTACAGAGAGGTCAAATAGATTAAAAATTATCGCATTTTTTTCTATTTTCTGAGATCTAACAGCAAAAATCCATCCTTTGAAGTTGCCAAAAGTGCCAATGAGAGAGTGGTGCTGATGGTCTAGTTAGAACCCTTCCCTGTACAGTTTGTTCATTCATAATTCTGCAAATTTCCTGCTGGTATTTGCATTCAGAAAATAAAATAAAAATTCACCTTGTATGATACATTAACTTGTATCTGGTCATCTGGTCTGAGCAACAAGACCAGTCAATGTTTAGGCCACACCAATTTAATTTGTTGTTTCTGGGATTTTTTCAGGAAAAAATATGAAGCAACAGGGCGAAATAAAAAAAAAACAGGCCAAGGCACCTCATGATAGCTGGAAATGTTACAATATGAACCATGAAGTGAACATACCAGGCTGGTTTATAATAGAAACAGTAGACTTTGAACTTTTAATGAAACAAAATTGCATTGTCACATTGAAAAACTTTAACAACTAGGAAGAAAGTTGGGGCCAAAATATGTATTTTATTGAGCATTTTGCAGTTGATTTAGAACATATTTTTTTTTTTGCAATCAGAAAAAAATGGACAGGGCGATCCGAGAAGCAACAAATTAAATTGGTGTGGCCTTACCAACAGAAAAAAGTATAAATACATAATGATTTTGAGCACAGATTCAGGCACTGAATGTAGTCTTCCCACAAGTACAGCTTGTTGCTAGTTTTTAATTACTGCCACAGTTACAATACATGCAGAAGTCACATGTCCCAGTATTACAGTAGTATCAAATCCTTCATGGCCAAATGAACAATATTTACACCTTTGCCATTCATACACTTCATAGTAACAGTACATATTATACACAACCAGATATATGTAAGTCCCAATTCTTATATCATCAAACATTCATTTTCATAGTGGCTCGTGTGCACTTTCCTTGATATTTCCTTAAGTTTAGGTGAAAATAAGTGACTAGCTTCAGTCAGGGATAGTAAAATTTAAAGCAGTCCAGTGTAAGAGGAGACCCACACATTGAGCCATCACTTTAATGGCATCTTTCAGTCTGGTTTTTCACAGCTTGGGCATAAGGCCACACCAATTTAATTTCTTGGTTACTAGTAACAGATTTTTCTAGAAAAATAATGGAGCGGGTGGGCGAAAAAAAAATTAGGGCCTGGGATCCTATTATGGCCCAAAATTGTACGATAGCAGCCTTGAAGTCAACACAACAGGCTGGTTCAAAATTTAAACAATGAATTTTGAACTTTTAATGATACCACTGCATTGAAAGATTGTTCAGGGCAATATATGAGCATTTTGCAGTTGATTCCAAATTTTTATTTTTATTTGCAAATCAGAAAAAAATGAAGCGGGCGAATCCGTTAACCAAGAAATTAAATTGGTGTGGCCTAAGGACAAGGTACAAATCTGGAGTTACAGCTGAAGGCTATGTAATATAAAAAGCAAAGTTTGGATATGTGCAGGGAATAACAGGCACCCTGAGGGGGAATTTCCTTTAGTTATTGGGTCTGGATTTTTGGATCTAGTGACCTTGCTGTATTTTATGTGACTCATGTGACAAGTAGTATTTTGAAAAGTTCTATAGATGAGTGCCTTTCAAAAGTTCTAGACAGCCCAGAGGTCACACCAAACACACATTCCTGCATCAATAAGTCCAAAAATATACAAACAGGCTGCCTGGCAACACTCACACATGTACAGCAGATAGACTGATGTTAGCATGAAATTACATCGTGAAAATTAATTTATTGTTCTCCAACTCAAAAGAATTTGACTCACCAGAATTGTTTACCAAATCTCACAGTCTTTGTCAAGATATTTGACCTAAGGCCACACCAATTTAATTTGTTGGTTCTCGGATTCGCCTCTTCATTTTTTTTCTGATTTGTAAAAAAAAAAAAAAAATTCTGGTTCTGAATCAACTAAAAAATGCTCATATTTTGCCTCCAACAGTTGAGGAAAGTCCTTTTCCTTCTAGTTCTTACAGTTCCTCCCTCTATCAATGCAGTGGTTTGATTAAAAGTTCAAAATTCATTGTTTAAATTTTAACCCAGCCTTTTGTGTTGACTTCATGGCTCCTATTGTAGCATTTCGGGCTATAATAGGATGCCTAGACCTGTTTTTTTTTTCGCCCTGTCGCTTCATATTTTTTCTTAACAAATCCGAGAACCAACAAATTAAATTGGTGTGGCCTACGTGTTGTAGACACGTGATTTTTCATGTGATCCGACGTCAACACTGGGTCAAAGTTGGTCGGTATTTGGTTGAGACAAGGATGTTCTGAGGTCTCACCACACATCCACATGTTGGAGATTGAGAGATTCCGTCGAAGATCCCAGTGAGTCAAATCCTTTTGAGTTGGAGAACAGTTAAATTTTCACTCCATACTGATGTTGTTGAGGGATCATATTGTGGGGCAGTTTTAGAACAACTGCCAATGTTCTTATACCTGAGTTGTTTGGACTACCGGTAACCAGACCCCTCCCCTAATAGAACAGCCATTGCATGCCATTGCCCACTGTCTTCACATTAGTATGGATTACATCCAACTTGGATGGGACTTTCAGAAGTTCCTATTCAATATGTGCTTGAGACTGTTCTATCAGACTAAAGGTGTGTCCTGTAGTGATGTTGTTATGAACAATCTTCCATTTCCTCCTGATTTCCAGCTCCATCTTCTATCCCTATCAGACTTTCCCTCTGCTCCAAATCCTCCGGAGTCCTGCAGAAAAGATACAAGTTAAGAATGGACAGACAGACATGTATTTATGACCTGCTCTTGTCCACTCACACTCATTCATTACCTGCTTTAACGTCTGTTGCACCGTGTGAACTTGCACATTGATGCTGATACTTGAGGCTTGATACTAAAAGTGTTATTTATTGAACATGCCCATAGAAAAAAGTCGGAAACATGCACTGTATGATCCTTTGTTGTAATACTATGTACCTTGCATGAGCTCTTCTTCTACAGTGACAGAAACAATGTATAACTTTCTTGACGGCCACCATGACAGGGTCCCAGTCATCCCAGTGAGACAGGAACGTCACGGCGAAAAAGGAGATGAAGACAGGAGGGATTCCCATGAAGAACATCCAATTAAAAGACACCTGAAAAACAGTGTTTGACATGTTGACAGGATGCTACACATCACCAGGATGCCACACATCACCAGGATGCCACACATCACCAGGATGCCACACATCACCAGGATGCCACACGTCACCAGGATGCCACACGTCACCAGGATGCCACACATCACCAGGATGCCACACATCACCAGGATGTTACACATCACCAGGATGTCACACATCACCAGGATGCCACACATCACTAGGATGCCACACATACATCACCAGCCTCACCAGTCTGACTTGCAAGAGGACTGAGGGTGACACTTGTAACCTATGTCTATGTCATAATGCACATACCTATGTCATAATACACACATCTGTGTCATAATGCACACATAATGTGCATGGTATATCCGTAAGTAAAGAGCTAAATGACCTTCACAACTTTTCCTTACTCACAAAGAAGAAAGAGGAGGATTTCTTTCAGACTGAGCTGAGATGACTGTAAGAAACACTGCTCTTGACTGACTGACTACCTGGGGAAGATGTGTTCTCCACCAGACTAACACCGCAGCTTCAAAAACAGAAATTCAGAATCAACTGCAAAATGCTCAAAATGCTCATATTTTGCCCTGAACAGTTCAAAACAGTCCTATCATCCTAGTTGTTACAGTTATTCCATCTTTCATTGCAATGGTATCATTAAAATTTATTGTTTAAATTTTGAACCAGCCTGGTGTGTTGACTTCATGGCTCCTATGGTACCATTTTGGGCCATAATAGGATGCCTAGGCCTGTTTTTATTTTTTTTTCACCCGCCCGCTCCATTATTTTTCTAGAAAAATCTGTTAACCAAGAAATTAAATTGGTGTGGCCTTAGGAAGACGTAAAATGTACGTTCAGAGTAAGATATTAAGTAAGTCAAAGTCCTTCCACTCTCCTCTCATCAGCACTACCAAAACAGTGGCAGGTACCACAGACTTTGGTTGACCACATAACAGTTATATGTATCAGTCTCACCTTTTTGAGGAATATGTCCACAATGACTGTAAGAGGAATGGTGAGGCTGAGAGACAGGGTTGCTATCAGTGATGATGTAAGGAAACAGCCCCTGAAACAAACAGCAGATTTGAAATGCCTTTATTTCTAACATACAATGTTGAAATAAAAACAAAACTCAAAACTAGAAATGTAAGAATAATGTTTACCTTCTCACAGTCTAGTCTGACAAAACTGCTGCTCTGTTTAGTCTTACTCAAACACATTCATATACTAGTATATAGTGACCAGCCCCTCCAGCTGGCTTGCTACATAATGCTACAGCACCAGTTTCCATGGTGACAGACATTTGGTCCAGGTCATTGACCTTATGTAAGACGAAACAAAGCAAAACAATATGTGTAAAGTGTGTAAACATAAAAAGTTGAAAACCTTAGTTTCAGTTACTGGATGTTAGTATATTAATTGCTTGTTTATTACCCTTTATAATGATAAACAATTTAGTATGATCCTTATGTGTGTTAGTCGCAAAAAAAGTGCAGAAATTTCCAAGCCCATTTGTAATGGTGAACATGGCCAGCCCCTCTAGACCTGTTCCGCAACAAAATGTTCTGCTACAAAATGTAAATGAATACACTGCTACAGGTCATTGACTTTATTTGTTTGGACAAGTAGAAGAGGAAGAAGAAACAGAGCAAAAGCAATGTTTTCCTTCTGCAAAGGCTTACAAAAAGTGCAATAATAACAACTGGGGTATTATTTTGAAGGGCATATGTACGTTGCTAATCATAGAAAATAATGGTCAGATGATGAAGGGAAATTTTAGCACTTTTTTTCTGACCTTCTCAAGCTTTTAATATTGTAGCCTGTTGATGTCAGTACCCCTGATGTTCATTAAAAGTAGAGTTACTGTATCAGAATTTTGCATGCTTGCCGATGAAAGTGTAACAAATAGGAGCTTGTTAGTAAACTCTTGCTCTGGACACCAACACATGGACATGCCAGCGTCGGCCGTTCCCAAAAAGAATCAGGAGGTATCCGTAGGAGGTCACTTGGTGCAGAAAAACTGCACGTTAACTACCCGACAGTGCCCATTTTTGGGACAGGAGCATTGGAGAGCAACACTGCTGAGAATTGGAGAAGTTCTAACATGTTACATGAGTTCTCCTCACTACATCACAACACAGTACTACTTACCACAACCACAGGAATTCTGACAGAACTGTCCCAATCAGCCCGTTTAAAGCTAAGTACATCCACTGTTGTGGAGTTGGCCACACAAATGACTCCAGCTTCAAATGGTGAAGCACCAAGAGGCCAGGCCACAGCAACACCATGTTGAACATGCCCACAAATCCTGAACAACAGGATAGAAGACTTTCTGTTAGTATCGGGGGCACAGAGTAGCAATACCACATTGGTTTTTATTGTCCAAACAGTACCCGTGCAGTCGCAGCCTTTATACAGCTGAATTGATGCAGGGTATTACATAATAAACAATACAAATCACAACAATCAAATAATAATACACATGATACACATATTTGTCGCAAGGGTCTGTGCGGCTGCCATTCGGTGCCACAAGGTGACCTCAATACGACTTTCCCCAACCAATGTTAGGTACCCATTCACACCTGGGTGGAGTGAGGAAAGTCGTGTAAAGTGCCTTTCCCAAGGGCACAACGTCAGGGCGCATGTCCAGACATGTCCCGGGTACGACCCGGAATCGAACCCAGGTCTCCCCGCTTCATAGTCGAATGCTCTAACCACTACACCACCCGACGCCACTGTCATCAACCAGTTAAATGGATTTTCATGCACCTAGATGCAAATTATACATCCGTTTTCATTATCAATATGGACATCTATAGTGTTTTCTCAGACCCAGTCAGATTTGAACTTCAACATATACATTCACAACACTGTGTTGGGAATGTATATGTCGAAGTTCAAATCTGACTGGGTCTAATCAATGCGACATGTACATTTGTAAGTACATGTACAAACATGATATGCATGCTAAATCTTCACCTAAGTTTTGGCCTCCCATTTCTCAGAGGTGTTACAACTCTGCACAGATTTGTTTTAAACATTTGAAAAGTCTGTTACGACAATTTTAGTTGTTGAAATATTATTAGTGGCCCAGTGAAACCTTTTTTGTATTCCCAGTGATACGGTTTTGTCAACTTGGATGCATTTTGCGTAGAATGGCACAATTGGATATTGTGGAAAATTAACAGAACTTTTATCTTTCTCTAATTTTTCAGCAACAGGAAAAAGTAATCTGCACTTCCTGGCAAGCAATTTCTTTTTTCTTACAGCTTCATACAAAAATGCATGAAAAATAACTATTTTTTCAGGTGTAAAATCTGCTTTTCATTCCAGCATCTACCCCAACAGGTTTCTTGGCAATACAGTAACTGTAAATATAATTATGACTATTCAAACATCTACAATTTATCTCAACTTCCCAAAACTTACAGACAAACAAAAAACTATTCTTCTTTTAACTTCCCAAAACCCACAAATTTTAGAAAAGGTGGGACATTGCGTCTTCCATGATTTACAGAGAAGTCAAACCCCTTAGACATAGTTTTAGACATAGCAAGAGTTTTAGACAATTAGATTTCATTATGTACATTTTGAAGTTATTTAATACTCTGTTTCAAAGTTCTTTTATTGTAACTTGCAATTAGCCTTCGGGCATGGATTTGCAATAAACTTCTCTATGAGTACCATATATATGATGTGTTACCCACCAAAAAACATTGGAATATCCAGTCTCTCCTCGTTATCTACTTTCTTCTTCAGCATGACGAGGTACACAGCGTACAGCGCCGCCCCGCACAGCGCCCAGAGAGCGCCCAGCTGTAGCTGGTCCTGCTGACTGGAGTGAGACATGGACACCAGCACGATGCCACCAATACTGCACAGAAAAAACACAACAAAATATAATAATGGTTTATTGGCCAAACATCTCCTGTATTGTGCAATCGCATCCTTATAGTGCTGAATTGATGCAGGGTTTACATAGCCTGGGTGCCATCCCCAGTAGTATATTCGCCAGCTCTATAACTGGGTCTGGACTTGATCACATAGAAAACGATTGGTGATGACGTCACGTAATGAGCTAGCCCGAGCAGCGGGGCTTCATTTGATTGGCTGAGCCTCAGAGGCGACGGCCAATGGCGCGCCTGCATTTTTCAAGTGATGTTTGTTGTTTTGTAAACACAGATCTTCGCGCGAGTGTTCCTTTTCTCGGTGCGTTCTTTTTGTTACCGGTAGGACGCCCAAAACATCACGAACGAAATTATTCAATGCATCTTTTTGCTCATTTTTGAGCGACGATATTCCGTCTAAATCGTCCAAAACGGAGGTCAACATCAACCTCCGTGAGCTGAGCGGCTTGTGCGTCAGCCATGTTGATGATTTATCGCGAAAAGACTGACTACAGCTATATCATGTGCGCTTTAGCGTTCGGTTCGCCGTCGGACATGTTGATGATAAGGCGTTTGGACGTTCGAACGGACGCTAACGTCGCCGTTCGGACGTCCGAACGGCCCTTACCTAATATGTACATACCCCAAAAAGGGCTTAGACGAGTAGGACCAATCAGCGCGCTCGTTCAAAATCTGAACGAATATTCAGACTCCAGACGCTACATATGTGTTCAAGTCCATACCCAGTTATAGAGCTGGCGAATATACTACTGGGGATGGCACCCAGGCTAGGGTTTACAATTAGATGATACAAATGGTAATAATACACATAATGCACATGATACATACTTTTAGTACTTGTTTCACATTTTTGTGGAACTGCCGCAAGGGTCTGTGCGGCTGCCATTCGGCGCCACAACGTGACCTCAATACGGCTTTCCCCAATCGAAGTTAGGTATCCATTCACACCTCAGCCAGGGTGGAGTGAGGAAAGTCGTGTAAAGTGCCTTTCCAAAGGACACAACGTCGGGCACATGTCCAGACATGTCCCGGGTACAACTCGGGATCGAACCCGGGTCTCCCGGTTCAGTCGAATGATCTACCACTACGCCACCCGATGCCACTAAATATAGAACCACCTTTCCTACAACTCAGTTATGGGGTTTCCAATAACAAGGTAAGCCGGTAGAAAGGCATCTTGTTGCATGCATCAACTTGTCAATGGCTGTGTACAATCATTACTTAAAGGAGTACTAACCTCCAAAAGGAAGTCCTATTTTCCGATACATCATGCTGCAATGAATACATAACTAGTCGACTTTTTACATAATTTCACTTGTAGGACTTGCACGGCGCATGTTTGTAAAGTGATATCAATATCATTTTCCCCCATGCTGAACTACAATTGATACATCCGGGAACTCTGGTTTACGCAATACTCATACACTTTAGGTCAACATACACATTTATCGGCGAAAATGGTAGGAGACAAGCACACTAATAAGCTGATTATTGAGAAATTACTTGCTTTACTTTGCTTGACCTGTGATATTATAATATCAGGATATCGAATACAGTGGGAGCCAGTTTCATCCTGCGTGTTTTGATTTTCTCAACTTATTTGAATGTAAGTATTACTTGAACAGATAATTAGATTACGCCACTTATGGAAAGGATAACAAGATTACGCCATTATTTTCATCGTCAATATTAGCGGCATAAATGAGGGGCGATAAGGACACCAAGAAGGACAATGGTTGGTAAGATACCAAAGAACACAAAACGGTACGAATTTTTCTTATCGCCCCCGAAATGAGGTCTGTAACGTAACTTATTGTTTAAAACATAGACACCAATGGGGTAGCGTGGTGTATTCTGGGATAGTTTTGAGGATATTTGAAGAGTTTGTCCTGGATTCGATGCGGTTTAAGACTTGCGCGCAAAATGGGCTTTTAATTGTATACTGTAAAATAATATGCATTTTTCACTTCCAAAAATAAATGCCTGTCGAAATACAGCACCTCCTTCTGGAGGTTAGTACTCCTTTAAGAACAATGCTCTTCAGAATGACCAGAATTGTAATGTGTAATTTATATGGAGCCTGCACCAATTAAAAATCTTTCCCCAAGGACACATGGAAACGGCCGATATTTGCTCTGTAAAAAAAGTTGCCATCTTGCATCCCTTTTCAGAAGAGACTAACTGCGCATGACTGGGAAAGAAAGGGCTTTGATTGGAGCTAAAATTTAGTGGGAAGTTTAAATCAGCCAATGGGACGTCATTTTCCCCTTATGTCGTAAATGCACAACGCGACCGATTTGCGGCCAGAGCAAGATAAGACAAGAGGATCTTCTTCACTCGTTACAGGTGGTGAAGAGTTTTGAAAGATGTCGGAATGGTATTCTATTCCCAATCTAAAGTAGGCCTAAGAGTCAGCAAGAGTAACACAAAAAAACATGACTGAAGTGAAACTCCTGGTGCTAAACAACAAACGGACAATTACTAAAGACTTGGTATGTGATGATGGTGTGAATTTCCCACACAGTTTGAGGTCCTGGCTTTTATATGAAACTAGGGCAAGAATGGTCCATTACTTGGCCATTATTAATTGGCTATTAGTCGGCAGTAGTGCTGCATACCGGTTCACTGGACTTAGATCTGGACTTGTAAGGGACTGTACGATATTTACCGGGGGGGGAGGGCTGGTGCAAAATGGTCCGGTAAAAATTTTTTTCCATGGCCCTCCCCCGGCTCAAATTTTTTTTCAATGGCCCTCCCCCCGGCTCAAAATTTTTTTCAATGGCCCTCCCCCCACCCAAAAAAATTTTTCGGTGGCCCTCCCCCCCATTTTTCCAGTCCATGTCTCTTTCTCCCTCCGTAAATTCCCGATTAAAGTACGCACCCCCGATTTGGGGCTGGTGGGAGACAAATATTCCCGTCTGAAACGTAAAAGGGAAAAACTTGAATTAAGTACGCCCTTCTACGCACGGCCGGTACCACAGTGAACATGTAGTATATGACAGTTCGTCGTTCCAAACAAATTTAAAATTGTTAAAAACTAGATTTATGAGGTGTACTACGTGATGGTATGGTAACGTAGCGGGAAACGTTTCAAGTTCGTTTTGTTTTTCACCGCCGGCCGCAGCCGACTTGCAAGACGTCACCACCGCATCGAAAGGTAAGGCAAGTGCGGCGAAACGCACAGATTTGGATCCAGCTTTGGAGTGTTGGTGTCTTGGTGATCAAGCAAGCAATGGTCAATAAAGATTCGTGAAAAAAAGACAATATTTCAATATCGATTTTATCGGTAACGAGGGGGGGGATACTTGAATGTTGATGCACAAGTACGTAGCTTTAATGTTTTTAATACGAAATGCGCCGAACACTTCTTTAATAGCGCCCGCGCGATTGACCCATGGAGAGCAACAATCATACAGGCGGAGAACTGGAGTCAATCATACAACCGGAGTATTTGGGTGTTGTATTTGGGTGCTACCGAATTTAAAATTTGACACCGAAACCAATTAACACAACAACAAGACTACTGGGATCAATGGGACTTTCGATTCCGAACAGGAGAAAGTGACAAGTTTGACTGCGTTTCAAGTAATCTCTCGTTATGTGATAGATGTTTTTGTCACAAAATCAAAGGAATAAACACTATTAATTTGTACTCCGTAAAACTTATAAGTACAGTCTGTTCAGAGGAAAGAAAGACTTCCTTCTCGGGGTCCATGTTCTGGAAAGCTGTCCTCAGCGCTGCGCATGCCACGGCCCTCTCTGTGTTCTTCAGCTGTAGGTGTATATACGTACTTTGCCTGTCGGCGCGCCAAACACCCCACCCACCGGCCGGGCGGTAAGATTTCATCAAAGGCTACATTTTAAATTAACTCCGCCCCTATCATTGTAGCTTGCCGAACAGTCGAGTAGGAGTACATCTAGCTGGAATTTTCACGTCGTACTGGCTGGTGTAGCCCGCTACAAAGTAATTTCCTGTGGCATTTATCAAGATTTAAAAATATTTGTGATACGAAGTGAAACATGGTTAACAATTTCTGAACCTTTGAAACGACATGGGCATAATCTTTGTTGAAGATTCCTGAGTTGAACTCAAGCCGGAAGTGTATTGGAAATGATGACCATCAGTCGAGGCACAACTGTTATGTTATCACATGTTACGTTACGACGATCAAGAACGTTCACGGCTTGCGGACCATTTCAAATATTACCACTCATAAACCCTACAATTGTATGTGTACTTATATTTTTGCCGGGGTTCCACTGAGATCGGCGCCGGCTAGCTGGGGAACGATCCTGTCGGCATGA